AAAATTCTTTACCGAAAATATACTGTGTGGCCGGAAATGTTTCTATAGCTTTTTAACGAAGCCTCAATCAACAAATTAGTATTCTTGATTTTCGTCCTATTTTGGCCTCTAAACTCTCCCATTAAAATTTTTCTCAGGGGTGGCCGCCCTGTATAAAATTATTGTAACATTTTGGCACACAAATTCATATTATTACAATGTTCTTGCGTACAAGTATAAAGATTATCTGAGTACTAAACATAGAATAATTTTTGACTAATAAATTTAATTGAATGTAATCAACACTAAAGTGAAGTAATTTTTCATAAAAATAAACTGTCTGTTTGATCGGTAACATTTGCAATAATAATTTATAAAATTGCAATATCGTATAAGAAATCGAAGCGTTACTTTGGTTAAATCTATTGAAATTCTATTTGTATTACTACGCCTCAAAGCGAATCAAGGATACAAGGAAAAGCGAAGAATTAGACGCAATACTTTTGTAATACGATTTTCTTGCGTGTTTGTAGTCTACTAATTAAAACGCTTGTTTATAAATGTTTCTACAGCGTTAGAAGCGCAACTAGTCGAACGGCAGCGATACAAATCTACTTTCACGCGGAGACCTTGCATTAAGGTTCGTCCAAGTGTATCACTAATACGTTTCGTCGAGGTAACAGCTTATCAATAATGCATCGCTTCATTGATACAGTTTTATGCCGTTCGATAATCTATATTTTTCATAAAAGAATTTTATTTTGATTTTGTAAAAGCATTTGCACCATCGTTGGGGTACTATAATAACAGTTTAATGATCATCGTACGAATATTGAAATTCATTTCGTCAATTACGCGGTTCGTTCAAAAAATAAGAGGGGCAAAGCCGTGATCCGACAAGTGGTAAAATAAATGCGTGGAAGAAATGGATGCTCTCTAAAGAACGAGGTCTCTTAGGTGGTTGAAACAGAAAAGGGTGTAAAGTGGCCTAGTTCTCGACGAGAGAGGACAGCTGGAATTTTTCCTTTTTTATTCCTCGCCAACTTTTCCTCGCTTGAGCTCCTTACTGCACCTTCGTTTCCCTCTTCGATTCGCCTCCCTTATTCAGACGTCGAAAAGCCAAGGAACGAATGTACTTTTCCTCGATACACTGTGCCGTCGTCATGGTTACCATCGTCTTGGATAATCTTCCGCCTCTTAGGACATGTCCTCCGTTATATCGGGCCATTTTATTTCTCGTTTCTGCAAAACCGTTTCTCCTCCAAGAATTTTGTTACATCGACGATATTGTTGGAAATATTGCATCGATTATCGATAAATTCAAATAACATTTCAGGTCGTCAAATGCACGCAATATTTTTCAGAATTATGATACGCAGAGACACGTGTATTACACAACTAATATTATAATTTTGATATTTATTTACGCTCTAGATAAATTGCATTGCAGAGGACACTGTATGATTTTATAAAATTAATTTTTTGTTGGAAATGTACTCATTTGCATATTTTTATTAAGAATTAATGAAATGGGAGCTTTGTAGAGGGTTGCCTCAACACCTAAATACAATAATTCGTATTTTAAGTGCATTCTGTAGTTTTTTTTAAATTTAAATTTGCCACAAATCCATAAATATTCGCAGTCTAATTATAAGTTATTATTTTTACTTAAATTCGTCCATTTTAGACTTCCATTTAGGTTGTTACAATCTTCCTCTCGACTGTACGCTTTAACTTCCTTACTCAGATCTTCCTATATAGAGAAAATGTCATTAACAGAGGGAAGGATTCGAGCTTGGAAGGACAATTTCCTGGTGTCCCATGGTTCAATGTTTCCTTTGACTAAAGTCATCCAGTTATTCTATCCTATAAGAATCTGCGGGCTTTGAATCATTGAATTTTGCCCCTTCTGGTAGCTTTGATCATCCTTGAGCTATTAACACACCCTTATTAATACTGTCACGTACAATTACATTTTCCACTTCTGCAAACAATTCACGCACGACTGAATTTCCAACAAAAATTTCAATATATTTACACGTTTTGCAACTTTCAAAATAATTTTCACATAAAAAAAAATAAATAATTTGCAAAGAATAAGTAAATTTTATGTTTTGCATTTTGTAAACAACGAAAAGAAAGTACGATTCTAGTGAATTCGATAATAAAAATTGAAGTTAAAAATACATAATGTGTAACTTGAAATTCAGATTTTAGTAATTTAATCGAAACCAGCAACGAAGGTATCAGTAACAAATTAAAAATGTTTGTAAACATCGACGAACATATACCTAGGTATTATTTCTTCGTTAAGAGAATGATATTTAGAAGCTTTCCACAAATTTTCCTTGAGAACGAACGAATTTTTATTAGAAATTGCGAATCATTTTGACCATTTCGGTAGTCCTAGTGTTAAATACACTTTTTACTATTAATGGCCATAGTTACAGTTTAAGATACTCTGAACAAAATTTGTTGAGAATAAGCAACGAGAATAAGAATAAGAAACATCGACGAACATATACTTAGGTATTATTTCTTCGTTATGAGAATGATATTTAGAAGCGTTCCACAAATTTTCCTTGAGAACGAACGAATTTTTATTAGAAATTGCGAATCATTCTGACCATTTCGGTAGTCCTAGTGTTAAATACACTTTTTACTATTAATGGCCATAGTTACAGTTTAAGATACTCTGAACAAAATTTGTTGAGAATAAGCAACGAGAATAAGAATAAGAAACATCGACGAACATATACCTAGGTATTATTTCTTCGTTAAGAGAATGATATTTAGAAGCGCTCCACAAATTTTCCTTGAGAACGAACGAATTTTTATTAGAAATTGCGAATCATTCTGACCATTTCGGTAGTCCTAGTGTTAAATACACTTTTTACTATTAATGGCCATAGTTACAGTTTAAGATACTCTGACCAAAATTTGTTGAGAATAAGCAACGAGAATAAGAATAAGAAACATCGACGAACATATACCTAGGTATTATTTCTTCGTTAAGAGAATGATATTTAGAAGCGCTCCACAAATTTTCCTTGAGAACGAACGAATTTTTATTAGAAATTGCGAATCATTTTGACCATTTCGGTAGTCCTAGTGTTAAATACACTTTTTACTATTAATGGCCATAGTTACAGTTTAAGATACTCTGACCAAAATTTGTTGAGAATAAGCAACGAAAATAAGAATAAGAAACATCGACGAACATATACCTAGGTATTATTTCTTCGTTAAGAGAATGATATTTAGAAGCGTTCCACAAATTTTCCTTGAGAACGAACGTCGTCATCGACGCAGCATATTTCGCTGATGAAATCGGGTTAATGCGATTAATGGTTAAAATCAGGGTAAACTTGACACGAAGGAAGCTGTGCATTATTCGTAGCCATTCGTTTCCTGGCTAAGGGAAAAAGCTATCGGCAAATGTAATGCATTATGTATGAGTGCGTGATATTGAAGTAAATGGCACCGTTTCAGAAAAGGAAGCTTCTTTAAGCAACTCCGTGACCGAGAGCAATACTCATAAACGACTTTTCATTCATGCTTCTACGGGCTCTGGCACCTAAATGATACTACATTTTCATATTTATTATTTAAACCGAAAAATAAAATCAAAATTATAAGTACAATCTTGAAAGGAAAGTTGATCAACACACGTGACGTATAATTTTTCGATAAATTCTATTTCCACGAGTCATACAACGGAATTAAAATAATTATTTATTCGTTCATTTTTTAGAATGTATATTTTCTTTCGTTCGTCTCGCAATTTTATTAATATCGCGCGAACAATACGAAATTAAAATAAAATTAAAACAAGGAGCGTCGTGTCGTGGAATTGATTATAGGTCGAAGGAAAATTCGAGCACAAGAAAATTCCATTAACCTTAAATGTAAACTGTACTCCGAAGTGCACAGTTTTGTGCCCGCACCAAGGCGGTTTAAACGAATCGATGAACCGAGCGATTTTCAATAAAGCACTGTGTTACCACTCGGACGTTAATGATCCTTTCGCTAACTCTGTAATCGTTTTCCTGCATTGAATGAAGGATCTATCGATTCTTCTTTTATATTAAATACTTACTGGAATTGTTTGAAACGTCGTAGAAAGACGGAAAATGTAAGAAAATTTCTTTAGAACAATTAGAACAAACATTCTTTTCGAAACTTCAAAACTGTCGTCAACGTATTATATTTATCGCGCGAACAAGTTCGAGAAGGCATCGCATATCGTTGTCACTGAATAACAAATGTCATAGTCGTAACCTATATCTCGTCGATAAAGAGAAGAAACGGATAGGGATGTTAAATTAACGGTTGAAGCCCGCCAAGGCGACTATAGCTGCCATTATCATTTAATTCACGCTCGAAGTCGAAGAAGGGAATTTAATCGAAGGCTGCACGTTACACGTAAATGAATTCTTTTTTTCTCGGTGGTTTGCATCGTCCGAAAGGTGGAAACCGCTAGTATAAATATCCCTGATGTTAGTTTCCTGTTGCAAATGCACTTTGCGAACCGCATTTTACGGACGAAATTTTAATGGTATGCTATTCCCATCTTCCATGAATAGTACCTTTTAAATTCTCGTTTCTCGACTTATGAACTTTTCCTCTTGGTTCTTAAGACTTCTTTTTATATTTGCTGGAGAATACCTAGACTGCTTTTATAAAGAAGAAAATTCAACCCAAGTACAACCCGTCTTGGGGGCCTTTGTCTTGAATCGAGGCTCTGATATTGCTCGATAAATTTAACCTGTCTTTATCGGCGTTTCTTCCAGTAAAGAGAAATTTAAAAACGTATGTAAATAATTAGTTTCACATGTAACGATTCGAATTGGCAATATCGTATAATGGTAACAATATGTATTATTATAACTTAATATCAAAATGAGTAATATTACGATGGAGCTTGAATTTTCTTTCTGACTTATTAAATTTATACACAGTATCTTTTTTATGCAAGATATCGGATTCCCTAACTGATCGAAAACACTTATTCACAGGACATGGAAACTCTCAAAGAATATGTAGGATGTATAAATCCTCACTGGGTGGCGGTGGTAGCGACAGGCATGTACACCCATATTCGACGAATTTACATAATTAACCTGTGCTTCGATAACGATAATAGCCAGTTCTTCGACCTCTCTTACGCGTCTGTGCTTTTCACATTTTCCGTGCTGTGCCTTCTCGCGGAGTACAGACTTTGGCCCAGGACGCTCAAGGAGCCACCGATCCAGCTGCTCTATATTTACGAAGTAAATATTACGCTCGACGTTTCAATCGAAATTTTATTTAGATTATTTGTCATGCTTGTGGCAGATGCTGGTGGCTGCCTTGACCACGGATATAACGACGCGCGCCATTTGGGTGCCAATGATGTACATCATACATTGTTTAACTCAGGAGTCGAGCGAATGGGTGAGCACGTATAACTTGTTCGTTGAAACGCAATTAAAACAACCTTTCGATAATAAAGAAATATAGAATTTCTCTTCTTTTACACGTTTCAGTTACTTTGGTTGAACACAACACTGTCGCTTAGTCGGTATTCGCCTCTGACCGATTTCGCTTATTACTTGTCGAAGAGCATCGCCGTGACACACATGTCCTTTTGCATGTCCCTTTTGTCGTTCGTATGGATGCTAGACGCTACCGAGTCTCTGGACGCGATTCTGGACATTTGGGCCAAGTAGTGAACCAGTGATGTTTAGTTTTGTAAGACACGTTCAGCATCGTAGAGCACTTTAATTATTGAACTTGATTGCGTTGTGGTTGCACAAGTAAATAATTGGGTGCGAGATTTTCGGTCTACAATTTTACAGTCGACCACTGGAAAAAATACTCTTGATTTTTTATTCCATAATATTGTATTTTATAACTACATTTTCCAGCTCTCAACTGTATTTTTATCCAAACACGAAGTAGAAATCATAGCAAATGTGAAATTATAATTACATGACATAAACTTCTTTTTTTATTAACAGTTAAGTATTTCTTTTTCATTTGTTTGTGATTTAATATGTATCGATATGTTACTGTTGTGGCACAAAATGGCGAATGATTGCTATACGGTAAATTTAAATGTCATAGTTACGTCGTTACGAAGAACAAATTTTTTCTACTATTTAGTAATTTTTTTACGAATATATTCAGAAAATAGTAAAAATAAATTTAGTAATCTTAATTAACTGAAATAATTTTTAAAGAAAGTCTCCTTATGCACAATTTGTGTTGCAGCAGTTACATTGATATTACTAATATTTACAGTATACATGATTTAGGGAACAAAGCATTAGATCCTGGATATGGTACAAATGCAGAAGAAAGAAAATCAGATTCTCAGATCCTGAAGTGACAGATTGGTTCATATACAAATTTATGTGCAGGAACGATATCCCAAACGTAACGAAATAGTTTATAAACGTATTTAATGCAACTTGTCGTTTTGTAAATCGTATATATATTTGTATGTTTATTATTGTACAATTATGTTTGTAATAAAGTGTCTTTTTACTTGCCAGTTTACTTATAACACACATGACTTTACATACACTCGATAGTTAAATTACTCAAAAAAATAGCTAGAAAATGTTTTTTTAAAACATAATTTAAAAAATTTATAATTTTGTTTAAAATTTACAAACAACGGTTCGAGTGGTTCCCCGTTCAAGTTGCATAGGCTAACTCTTCCATTTAAGTGAAATTAGTATTAACAATGCATTTTTATAGTAACGATCGAAATGTCACAAAATAATTCGAGATATCTCGCGGATGAATGAACAAAATGTCTATTTACAAATTCTTCTCAATAATTTATAGAAGATATCAGTGTCGAAAGTTATGTTAATGTGATGTAAATGAACTGTTATATTTTTTAAAATGGCGAGACTGTTTTATACAATTTGGGCTCTCGTTCTGAACATTTTCGGGCTTCGAATTTTTCGAACGTACTTCGACAGAGCCATGGAAAACGAAGACGGTGAATCTCTTCTTTTGGGATCACCATTTAGTTCGTTTTTATTCAGCGTCGGTATTTACATCATTATCGTTAATTCCACCCTTTTCCCGCGATCTTTTCGTCAACCGAAAATGATGTTTATAGTAATTTACGAGGTTAGTTACAGTTGTTATTATTCTTTAATATTCTTTACTCCCCCCTTAAACCATTATACCAAAAATGCATAATATTATCAACGAAACAAATAATTTTTTTATCATCTTTCTCAGTTGTCAGCTTTTTATAATCAGATATCTTAATGGTATTTTAATTTCTCAATTGCATTCGTATCACTAACGAGCTAGATTAGGTTTGTTTATACTATAATAGACATACAGTTTTTTTTATAATTAGGTACCTTAATAGTTTTTAATCTGCACTTTTAAAAAAATGTTGATCCGAAAAATCTCATGGTTATGGGAGAAGGAAATTGTGTAGTTTGAATTGTTTTAAAGTGCCATTTTTATTTAGTATATTTTAAAGTAAAAATATATTAAATGGCGGGAATATAGGGAACATATTTATTATTCTTTTTATTTAAATTTTAAATAATTCGTTAACGAGCAATTTTTATCGATCGTTTATTGTTAATTGTCTATCTTTAAAATAAAGTTTAACGCAGTTTACGTGATTGTTCTTTTCTTTTACGTAGTTTTTAGCCACAGCGTTTCTCTTGGAATGTACAACTGCTTGCATTTGGATACCAATCGAAGTTCTTCTTATAACTACATTCCCGACGAACGTTTCCAACGTAATGTAACAAATAATACTTAATTCGAATGACTGATTCAGATGAAAAGGGTCCAAAGAGAATTTGTATCTTTGATAAAATTCCTCTCAGAGACCCTGCCTACGATAAACTCTTCAAATGTATTGAATTCAATATCATTTTAAAACTGTTCTCTTCTTTTTAATGAATTAGGTGCTCTGTCAGCTTGGATTAAACGATGTAGCAGTCGCGGTCCTAAAAAATAAATCTCTGATGGCGACCGTGACTTACACCGTTGCATTTACGTTTCTTCTGCTCACGGTTCATGTTACGGATGCAGTTGATTACACAATTATTAAGTAATGATTATACGTTTTACAGCACTAAATCCAAAAGAGGAATTATGAGTATAAAACACTCTTAATTTAATCATTTGCGTTTCGTGGGATTTTCAATCAAATACATTATATTATTGTAAATTAATTTAAACACAGAAATATATTTTATTATTTAACCAAATAAAATATATCACTGGAAATTAATTTAAACACAAATAGATATTTTATTATAATTTTGTGTTGAACTAACGCTGAGGGCACAACAAAAAATATATTTAGAGACGTTTATCGATCTCAAGAATAGAACTAGTTTAAGTGAACAATTTGTCTATTGTGATTGAACGAAGTAATTAATTGCGTAAATGTTTTCTACAGAGATTGCGGAGCAACGCATTTTGCAACGCATTTAACCGAAAAACTGTGGAAGAGAATACAACAGGAACTTCCATTCTTGGACAAAGGAACCAAAACTTGTCGTTGCAAGGTTCGCAGAAAAAGTCGTAGCAAGAGTCGTGCTAACAATAAGAGATAGTCTTGTTAGAAACTTTGTCTCGCGCTAAAAATCTTTATATATATTTTCGTTCATTACAGTTTTAATATATTGATCATTACATGTACCATGTAACATTCTTCCAAACTTATACTTATTGATTTCTACCACAACCTATGAAGAATTTGTTTCTCGAATTTTGTTGTTTCTAATAATCTTCAAAAGAGTATCAGAGAGTACTTTTTGAGTAACTTTTAACACTTTGTACTCCACTGGTGACAAACATAACACGTACTGTAGCTCGATTCGAGTTTTATTTATAACGCAAATTGAATTTAAGAACTATATGAGTAATTTTTATTTTTATTTTTAACCCAAATAAATCGTAAACCCACGTAAACAAAAATGATTCTGGTCCTGGAAAAATTTTAATGCAAAATTGTATGAAACAAAAATCCAAACAAGATTTTTACTAGCGTGAACATAGAGCATGAATCACGAATTTTGAAAAATATTGAATAGACAAAATTCCATTATAATAAAGTGAAAATATAGATTTTATGACTAAAACCCTAAAAATTAATATTTCTCAAAATAATATTGAGGTAGATTAGTTTTAGACGTAATAATTTATAGTTTAAAAACAAAAAAAATACTTTTGAATTGCCGGTATATTTCATAGATATCCTATTTGTGGTTAACATTCTACCATCTTTGTTTATACAACGACCACGTTGACATAGATTTTCCAAAGACGAAAGGAAGATTGGACGCGAAAACGTGCGATCAAAAACACAACGATCGGTTTATTTTTATGAAAAAGAAGGCATTTATTTCGTTCGAACTGAAATATAAAGTACAAATGGTATAGATAATATAGTAGTAATAATGTAATAATTAATCGTTAATAAATATCAATTCAATTAATAATACGGTGTGTACCAGTATACTGCAGAATATTATATGTACGGTAATTGTACTACACGGGATGTGTTCAGTGGCAGCGTTACATCGTTACGATCGAAGTGTATATATTACAGTGGTTTTCTCGATCCTCGCTGACCGACGGCGATAGGTCAGATCCTCGATTATTATTTTTTTTAGTCTCCTCGATAACTTTCCTCCTTTCCTTTCTCGCGTTATCCGAACAATCGAAACACATTCGTCATCGAAAAAAAGGGCTGCTGCACTGGCCAACGACAACCCAGAGAATATGTTTCTTTGCTCAGCGTCCAGAAATACATCAAGTTGGATATAACATTAACGGAATTAAGGAAATTTAGAAACAATAATTCGAAAATGATCTGTACTTGCGTCGTAGTCGAGGCCGTTCGACGAGACAAAAGAAACAGAAGAGTAAATTTTGTCAAAGAATACGCCAAAAATGTTGCAGTACAAGAATTCACTTTATTACCTCGAACAAAGAAGAAACACAGTGTACACTGAGTCTAACGGATACCCAACCGAATATTTCCAGCGACGCGAGCATCGTTTTTCGATGTACATCAGCGTCTCGCTCGCTCTCGTAGTCGCAATACAAGTTTCGTGTTAAAAGCGTCCGGATGGCGAGCAACAAAGAGAGATAGATAGATAGAGAGAGATAGAGAGAGAGAGAGAGAGAGGGGACAGTTATCCTAAAATTATTTTAAGTTGAGCTCTGACAGGCAGTGTCATCCATCGTTATGCATATTGCTATTATTTTCTAACTTAAACCGACTGTGTTGTAATTGACTAAAGAAAATTAAAAATTCAAATTTTCCAACGCGCCAAAACAACCGTCATCTCCACGGTGACGACTAGATGGTTGCCTAGCAACGAATCTTATTGATAGTTACTCATGTTATCTATATTAAAAAATGGCGGAATTGGTACATTTACCACTTCAAAGAAAGTTTTACGTGCTAATTTTCAAAGAAACGATTTATTCTCAAATGAAAATAATTTGAACGATAAGTGGATAGGAATGAACATAATTCTACAATATTTTTAATATTATTATCTACAACAAGCAAAATATCGACGGTTTTTAAGCTTCTATTTTACTAACGGCTCTTTAAGAGAACAAATTGTGATTTTCTTAAAAGATTGTAAATAAAAATTGATTTATTATCCTTCTTGATTAAAATAAGACAAGGGGAGTTAATAGCTTTGAAAATAAA